GGCTAGGACCAATTGTCCTGTGTTCCATTGGTTCGTGCTTGGATTTCCAAGTGCTTCAGTATAATACGTCTATTTACGACGAAATTATGTCAATCTTCGTAAGGGTAATTATCTTTCGTTAGAGGGTAGGGGTAGTGGAGGTAATCATTTCAGTATTAAACGTGTTTTTAGAGACTTACCACCCACTATTAAATATTTTTATTGTCGAGTCATCTGACAAGTGTTATTTCTTTCATCATGGGAGAATTCAAGTAAATAAATGTGAACTTGAGATGTAGTACTACTGTTTAAACGGAATCATGATCATCTTACATTGTTATCTATTAGTCTGCTACAAATTTTTTTCTGAACATCGCTAATAGACAAAATTCTTCGGCCATTTTGCTCAAGCGGTAAGCTATGGCGGTGGCAATGTGGTACGAAGTCTGCTTCGATCTCAGAAGATGGCGGGTTCCAATCCTTGTAATGAAAAATCTTTTAACCGCGAATTCCTTTGATCAAAGAGTTCATCTCACACTGTTTCAATTCAACCAACTGGGACACGAACATCAAATTGGCGATTTGGAAAACAGAAAATCAGAACAGCGTAGTGCTTTGGAGTGATCATAGCAGAACGAGCGAGCGATACTATGTGACTAAATCGCCTATGCGACTGCGATCCGCATTTACATACTCAATAGCTGATGATTTAATGTGGTAATTAGAACAATTGGTTTTACTGTTGTTGCAGGGGTACACTTCACTTCAACATGAATAACCTTAATATTGTTTCGGATCACAGTAATTTCGATACACCATAATTATACATGAAGATCCTTAGTACTGTAGTACGCGTTTCGTTTAAGCTGGCACTCTGTTCCGAATTGGGTATTATAAATTCTTCATTGCTATTTATCAGTTGTTCAGGTATTAGTCGCATATAGGTTTTGCTTACTACTGTTTTCAAGATCGAGACTCGAGCTCCAAGGCTGGCACCTTGGTTATCAACGGGAGTAGCACCCAGTTTCGCACTGATGTGTGGTTGGTTGTTGTGAAGTTTAGTGGTTTGCTGTTTATATACTGCCGCTCGAGAAGTTTTGTTTTCTTCGTAAATGAAACACAAGAATTCTCCTTAACTGATGTGTCGATGTCGTTTACTTTTCTGTAGCAGCTTCAGTTTGTAGTAAGCGTCCTATTTCCATAGAGCTATATTTCCGTTATAAC